CGACCACCAGTCCACCTGAGGAAAACTGGTTGAAGGATCCAAAGAGGCACCTGCCCCGCCAGCCTTCCCCTGCCCCCGTCACGTGGTTAATGGACAGACTGACCTCGGAATGGGAGAGGTTTTAGATACTTCCCAAGGTAATCTGAGGAATTAGGAACTACAACTGAAACTGGGAACTTGAAGTTCCAAAGTAAACAGACGTTCTTCAAGCATATATATCAGTGGATGATAGATGAACTTTAACATCCAAGAAATTACGGGATTCACATTCACATGTGCTTTTTCTTTTTTTCCCACAGACGCTTGCATATTGAAGTTTGGCACGGTACACGGTGTAGTGTTCATTAGCATATCTACCTTCTAATCACATCAGCATACCAATGGAACCAGGCTTCTCTTTTTAAAAATATCACATTTTAATATAAAAGGCTATACTATAAATTACTACATAGTAAATCCAATACTCTGAAAAACAAACAAACAAACAAACAAACAAACAAAAAAACCCACCCTGGAACACCACATCAGAATTTCAAGTTTGCACTGGATGAAGACAGTTAACAGCAAACTCATCGTCAAATGTAGCCACCACCTCGAGCGCCGTGCAGGTGGCTTCTCGGGTGCCTCAGCACCTTCAGAAGTCAATTGTTCTAGGCTGGTTCACTGAGGTTCATAACTGTATTGTTTTGTTTTTTTTTTGTTTATGGTTCCAAGTCAATTTATGTTCCTGATTACTGATGAGATAGATCAATGCTGAGCTAAAAAGAAACTTTGCTAGGAAGAGGTTTATTAAAGGCACTAATATTTCCGTAACCCAAACTCCAACTACTTTACATTTTTTTTTTTGGTGGGGGAGGGAATGAACAAACAAAAAAAAAAAAAAAGGAAAAACAAAACAAAACAAAAAACGAAGTGGCCATTCTCATTCCTTAAACCTTGTTTTCCCTTTTGGTCTGAGGCTCATGTGGTGTTCTGTGAGAATTTCTCCTCCTTTTCGATACATAAAAATCATTTTTCATCTTGTAATACAGTTCACCTGCACAAAAATAATTGGGCTACTAACTGAAAGAATTCTAGTTTAAAAAAAAAAAAAAAAGAAAGAAAATCCTTAACTTGAAAGTTCTAAATTTAGGGAAGTCAAATGGACATTTACTTTGTCATCTGTGTTTTGCCAATCTCCTAAATACTTTCTTTGTAGTTAATACATTTCCATATTACACGATATTGAATAAAATCAACATATGGTACATGCAATAAGCAAAACATAAGAGATCTGGCATGAGTTCTCTGAATAATCTCTTTAAATAAAACACCCTGTCTTCAAAAATATTCGTAAATTTTTCCTCATATGGAAGATTTCAAACATGATCTGGAATCCAAAAATGCAGAACTATCCTATGTTAATAGGCTTACAGTTATCTTTGTTTTCTTATCTGGAACAAAATCTAAAGGAAAGGGACCTAACGTATTGTACCAGAAAAGGATAATAAACAAAAGAGGATTTAATAAAATACACTAGTCTGTGATTCTCTCATGAGAGAAAAAAAACTAAGTCCTATATAACAAGCATGGAAGTCTAAGATGATATCTTTGTGGAAACTATAACGGAAAGATTTAACTATATTATTATTATAAAAAAATGGATATGTTTTTAAAAAGTAGCAAGTACGTGTAAATTTAAATCACCCTTAATTAACCAAAAAGTGTGTAAGCAGTGCAGTTGTGTCCTATTGGATAGGTGTAAGCATCTCTTTAGGCACTTCACTGGTTCATGAACACAATACAAATTAAAGCAATAAACACAGAAGTTTGTGCTCTCTGAAGATAGTCTAATCAAGCAGCAAAAACCCAATGCAAAAATGTGACTTTTTGGCCACTGATTCCTCCCCTATGACTTGATAGCTTTTCTTTTTTTTTTTTCTTTTTAACCAGTTGTCCAAAGAGATTTTTTCTGGGGAAGGGAGTGCTTTGGCATTACGAAAAGAACATTGTTCAACCCCAGTAAGGTAAAACAAAAAAGCCACGTGCAATAAAGAAATTTGAACAAAATTTCCTTATGGCTCTGTTTAAAAAGGACACTTCTGCCAAGTGAACATTATAGGGAAAAGCTTAGTTGAGAATTTGTTTTTTTTACATATATTGCACTCTTTTTGTGTTGTTCAATCACATTAATGCATAGAAACACAATTTTTACTTCTGAATAATAAACTGTCTAACCTAATATAAGAAAAATCATGGCAAATAATTTCTAAAAGCCTACCAGGAACAAAAAATATATAGGCATATTAACCTTCCTTTGCTTACAGCAAGATAGGGGAAAAAAAACAAAACAAAACTATGGATAGAAAAAATGTGCAAAGAAAATTTTTGGTCAGTCTCGTGTGGATACAGGCTGATATACATCGACTATAATGAACCGCAGGCAGCACGAGCACTGTTGATTTAAGATGACTGAGGATGACTGTCAGTGACAGAAAGGATTGTGCATAATTCCACCTTTAATATGTACACCTGACACGGAAAACCGGAACTTCTGTTTTAGAAGAGGAAGAAAATAGCTGAATTTGGCATTTCAGTAGCATGCTATAGATTCATCATGAATAATTTCACATTACGTTATGGACAATGGCTGTATCACATTTCACGTTATCCCCAATAGCAGTAAAAAAAAAAAAAAAGAAAAATTGAACAAACAAATAAACAAACAAAAATAAAACAGTGCCTGACAAATTATCTCCTGGAGACACAAACAGGTGCCCAGTGAGCAGCTTGGTTCCACAGCGCGTGCCCTCCCTCTACCAGATCTAGGACACAACATGACAATTTCAGAATGGCTGCGGGAGGTCATTCTTTGCTGAATTCCAATAGCTGAGAAATGGCTTGAGCCGACTGTAGGAGCTTTTCCTTACTTAAAATAAAAGGGAAAGGAAAAACGGCATGTACACGCAACCCCCAAAGCGCTGAAGTTAAGCATTAACAAACCGGGTTCATGATTGATGATCAGTATCCAAAAATCCAACTATGAACAATGCCAGGTAGTGCTCCTCAGTATTCTTGTTGCAATTGTTAGTAATGTTAAGCATCAAGAAAAATAAAACACATCATTGCACTTTACAGCCGCAATAAACAAAAAACAAAAAACAATAAAAAAAAGAAAACGGCTAAACTTTGACACTAGAGAATTGAATAATTTCTGATGCTATATCACAAACAGCTTCGGATGAATATCTTATGTGAAAAGGTCTTTACACACGTAAGGCATCTTCTCCGGGCGGTGCTTCAGGTCAAATGCCGAGTTATGGCACGAAGAGCATAAAGGAGTTCAGCTTGCATCCGTGCTTCCATTAACAGGAGATTTACGTGGACCTAGATATGAACATGGTATCAGTTTAGTAACCATTATAAACATCTCAAAATTCCTTACATTTTTTTCATATGCCAGACATCCTCTAAAGTTTTTATGTATATATAGACGTGTACTTATGTACATACATGTGTACCTCTCGAATCTGTGTCTGCGGAACTGCCTCTGCGTGCAGTAAAAATGACCCTATAAAGTCCAAAGAATTCTAATAATTTGTTAGAATATGTTGTATAAAGTCAACAATGTTTTGGGTTATAAAGTACAAATAACTTTTAGGGGGGGTATTTTGCCATAGGGTACATGCACTCACCAGAGACAGAGGGAGGGAAAGTGAGAAATTGACCCCTGGAGGGATGGCCACATTCCATTCTTTCTCTTCCTTTTCTCCTCTTGGGATTTTGGGAATGTATACAACACATGCCAGGTGTGATTTTCTTTCAAGCCACCAGGGTTTGAACTGTAGTTGGTCATGGGGCTTCCTGCTAGACCCTTTTTTTTTTTAACTTTGCCAGAGGGCATGTTTGCTCACTGGAGAGAGACAGAGGGGAGGGGATGGCAAGGAAGTACTATCTATGGGGAAAGGTCAAACACAATAAATACCTTTTCCTCCATCTTTCCCTCCTTTCAGGATCTTGCAGATGCATGCACAGGTGTCTGGTGTGCAAGCCACCAGGTCTAGGACTTGAACTGCACAGTAGGCCCCATGGAATCCAGTTGCCTCAACTACCAGGCTGGCTTATCAAACTAATTTTTAAGATTTACTATTTTCCTACAAATTATACTTTGCTCCAGTTGTAAAATTTTACATGATTAAACATAAGCCCTACAGGGCAGCAGTTGGCGTAATGGCTATGTCGCTGGACTCCCATGTAGTCAACCACGGTTCGAGTCCCGGACCCAGTGGATTAAACTCACACGTGTGTGCCCAAGATCCCAAGAGGAGAATGGAGGAGAAGGGATTGCGGTGTGGCCATCCCCCTGGGGGGTGATTTCTCACTTTCTGTCTCTCTCTTTCTTTCTAGGGAGTGCACGTGCCCTATAGCAAAAACCTCTCAAAAAAAACAAACCCTATACTGCTTATAACTTATGTTTATTCCTTGAAAACTTTAAAATATTTGTCTACTATTTTACTTTTAAAATATGAGGCTTAAAGCAGTTTTATATTACTGTCTGATAACTCATTAGATATGGTTAGCTTCCCTGGAGTATTTGAAAAAAAATATTGTGAACAGTGGCTGGTTTTTTTTTTTTTGGAAATAATTCTCAGCTGATAGGTTAAAGTAAATATCCATGAGTTCAAACCATATTACAAAGAAATGTTATATTTAAATTATTTTGATACCTTTCTACAGACTGGATATATTGTTGGATATATTTTCTTTCTGAGTAGAGAACTTCTAGAGGGTCAGCAGGTGACGTGGTAGTTAAGGCACTAGATCCTGTATGACCAACTCTGTGGTTCAAGTCCCTGACCCAGTGGCTTGATAAACATGCCAGGCACATGTGCATGCATGTCCAAAATACTGAGAGGAGAATGGAGAAGTGACTATGGTGTGGCCGCCCCCCTTGTGGGGGGGTATTATTTCTCATGTTCCCTCTCTCTCTGGAGAGTGCATACACCCTATGAAAAACATCTAAAAAAAAGAAAAGAAAAAAGAAAGTAACTTGTAGAAACAATATAGGGAAAAAAAGAAAATCTAGGGCAAACACAGAGACGGGGCACAAAGATCTATCAGGGAGAAATGCTGGAGATAAAATGGGTATACCTGACATGTGACTCTAAGATTTCAAAAACGTCGTTCAGTTCTGAGGTCAGAACATTCTCCACCAGGTCATGCAGTGAGTGAGTGTTAGGACCCTAAAAAAATTTTCTTGACTTCCAAACTTAGAAACTGCAGTATAAAGGAGATTCTTGGATTTAATGGATAAAAGATCTAGGACTTAAGGCCAGTTATACTACGGTGCTGGTAAAGACACCAGGTTTTAACATAAATAATGGTTCCTACACATTTCATCCAAAGAAATACATGTATACGTTTCAAAGGTTGATGTAAACTTTTACTTTATATACTATGCTGGACAAAGCACACAATTAAAATGTAGTTGAAATTTAATAAACTTGAGTTTTAACAACATTAAAGATATATATCTGGTTGATGTTACTTCATTTCATCGGCACTAACTTATTAATACTTTAATGTATTATTTTTCATAATCATTACTTTCTTCTTCCCTTTTTTATTTGCCAAAGGTGCATGTGTGTGTGTGTGTGTGTGTGTGTGTGTGTGTGTGTGAGAGAGAGAGAGAGAGAGAAGGAGGTGGGGGCACCTCTCACGGGGAACAGCCATGCTGCAGTCCCTTCTCCCTTTCTCCATCCTGTCGAGACTTCGGGCGTGCACGCACATATACCTGGTGTGCCTCTTAAGTCATCAAGACCAGGATTTGAACCATGGTCAGCTACATGGGATCTGGCTTCCCTTAACCCAGACTACAGAGCCAGCCCAATCGCTACTTCTTATACTAAACCTTGGTCTATGGTTTCATGCTTACTCACCAAACACTTACCTTTTCTGAGTGTTTGAACTGCCGCCAGTAACTATCATACATGCGCTTTGTAGTCCTCTCAGGGTAGCAGGTCACTGTCTTAATGTAAACCTTCAGGCTTCGTTCAAGTAACTGATTAACTTCTCCATAATCATAGTCGTCATACCTAGGAGCAACAGAACAACAGTTTTCTAATGATGAAAGAAAAATTTCTATTTCTAAAGTTATACCACGAGACATTTATTGTCTAGTAATGTAATACAACAGCTCATCAGTTTACGTAAGGAATATGTATCAAAAAAAATATGTATCGAGTGACTGTTACATGTTGTGCACCTTTCTAGACACCGAGGATTCCCTAGTGAACAAAAGAGACAAAAATCCCAGATCTTATGGAGATTAAATTCTACTGGAGAAAAAAGTTTAAAAGTTAAACATATATGGGGCTGTAGTCTAAGGGAAGAACTATGCTTTTATTTACTTATTAGTTTTTGCTACAGAGCGCATATGCTTGCCAGAGAGAGACAAAGGGAAAGTGAAAAATCATCCCCTGGGGGGATGGCCGTGGCACAATCCCTTCGTCTCTGGTCTCCTCCTTGGATTTGGGGCAAGCATGCAAATGCACTCAGTGTGATTTTCAAGCCAGGTCCTGGACTTGAACTGTGGAGTCAGCCATGTGGGATCCAGCTGCCTTAACCTGGGGCCAACTTGCCACCTGCTGGCCCCAGAACTGTGCTTTTAAATAGGTTGGACAGGAGGGTTCCTCTACAAGGCAAATGCCAGAAGGTGGGGAAGGAGCAAGTGTAAAGGCCCTAGCCAGAAGTCAAGCGTTTCCGGGAAGAGGGAGGGATCAGTGTGTTGGAGTGTTCAATGCAGCTGAACGGTCAGTAAGATGGTAACTGGGAACTGGCCACTGAAATAGCTGCGTGAAGATCACTGGCAAGCTCAATTTTCTTGGTGGAAATGGTAAATGCTTGATACTGTTAAGTGGGCTCAAGAGACAACGGGAGATGACAAAGTGGTGACAGTAATTATACAAAACGTTTTCAAAGAGTTGTGCATGGGAGCAGAAAAATGAAGCAGTAGCCAGAGGGAAAGGAAGGAAGATGAACATTTCTTTAAAGGTGAGATAAGTAACAGCATGCTTCTATGCTAATGGAAAAGATCCAATAAAGAGAACAAAACTGATCATGCAGGAGAGAGAAGGGAGAATTGATGGAACAGAGAGCTTTAGAAATGAGAGTAGACAGATTTTGTGCAAGTATACAGGAGCAGGGTCAGTGATAACAGAAGAGACCACAGAGTAAATGGCACAGATGCAGAGGTGGGTAGATGTGGTATTTGGAACTTGAGGATTTCCTCTGATGTATTTTGTTACTTTTTAACTCAAATGTAATGTTTAGTTAAAATATATACCTTATATGATTTTCTAAACTTTTATTTAGCAGCATCTAAAATATACAAAGGGGTAGTCTTCCAAAAGTTCACAGGAAATGTGTATTATGCAAAACTACGCATGGATTGCAAGGTTTTACATCAAAATAAACTTGACTCGAATTCCATTGTTTTCCCACAAACATTTTGAGGTTCTCTAATAAATTATTACAACATTTGCTACTCATTGCCTTACGTATTTATTATATTTAAATTAAATTCTACTAGTGTTTTATTTTTCTTAGGTGGGTAGGTATAATATACTGGTGCCTTAAAATCTGATGATTCTTTGATAGCTTATTGTCTAGAATGGCCAATGAGCAAATAGCACAGTACATGCCATCAAAATAGTGTTTTTGAGATATAATAATGTTGATTAATTGATTTATCAGGAAATTTTGGGATTTTTTAAATTTAAAATTATAGAAAATATTTTGCTAAACAGACTGAATTCTAATCCATTCTGGAAAGTCCTTCCAAAATACAAACAATCTTCAGAAAGTTCATGAAAAATTCATATTCTGAAAAAATGATGTATGGATTTCCAAACTGTTTTTGCACCAAAATAAACTTGTACTCTGATTCCATTTTTCCATGAATTTTTCAAGTCCCTTATAAAATCAAGTGGAATGTATTCATAATTGGAAACTTACTTTCTGCAAATCTATTTTCATAAAAGCCCTCAACCCTCAATCAAAAAAAAATTCTCCAAAAAGAGCTTTCTTGATTAGACTATTCATTTTCATTCATTCATTTACTGTCCTCTCAATGCTAATTTTCTAAACTTAGAGGCCATCATTTCATATTGACTGATATTTCTTTTTTGGTTTTCTTATGTGAGCTCATAAGGTAAACTTTATGAAGGCAGAATCTATTCTAGTTTTTATACTCTAATTACAATTCCTTTAAATTAAAAAAAAAAAAAAAACCAAAAACCAAAAACTAAAGTTCCTATCCCCAGTAATTATTGATGCTTTCTCCTCTCCTTGGTAAATTCTTACTACTATATTTAAAGGTACATCAATATTAAGATTCACAACACTTAAAGGAAATTGTTGCTTCTCTATGAAATAAAATTAGCTTTTTTTCTTAAGAATTATTTTATTTATTTACTTTTGACAGAAAGAGACAGAGTGGGGGGGGGTGAGAAAGCAAGCCATCAGTCCAGGACTCAAACCATGGTTGGCCAGGTGGGGATCTAGTGCCCTTAACTACCATGCCACCTGCTGGCCCCCAAATTAGTTTTTAAAATCAGAAGTTCACACATAATTATTTCCTCCCCAGAATCATATACTCCTAAATAGGATACAATAATGACACTAAATCCAGAATTTTCTCTTAGAAATAAACAAAACTGTCCCCACGATGACCATACCTGATTCCAAACATACAGTGGACATAGTTAAATAACGCCCTGCGCAGCATGGTTGTGTCCACGTCCTCATGGGTGGCCATAGTGTTATAGGTGAGATTATAGACCATCCGAAACTTCTCATCAAGAAGATGCCCAATGTCAGAGTAAAGTCTGTTCACCAGGGAAAATCCATGATTTTCCCAAGTATAGTCCTAAAAGAATAAAATGTGCCCAATTACAAAGTAGGCATTCTCCATACAACTCCACGTCTTATTAAATGTAAGTACTGACGCAAGTAAGTGAGGACGCTTTTAACTGAGTTCTAGGGTTGCAGCTTCACTGAGGCTTTACCAAGAACCTTCCACGTCGGTGTGTACATCAGAGTGGCGGGATGAGTCCTCACAGGGCCCAGAGTTTGGCATGTTATGGTGAACTCTGGCCACCTCCTACTGTCAGGTCCTAGGCTCACCACGCCCTTATATGGAAGCACCCCATGAGGACTTTGAATATCCTCATGTGACCAGGCCTACTCAGTGACACAGACAGTTGGCAGATCGTCTGAAACAAGCACGAAGGAGCTGGCCTTAGTTCAAACTCAGACCCTCTTTAAGAGTCACATCACTATTGGGGCTATTTTTTAGGGGTGTGATGACGGTTAATCCTTATGCCTTTAACTACTGGTCCATGATCTTAACACAAAATGCCTTTTTATTATCAATGTAACCATGTAACTTGATTTCTTCTCTGCACCCCTCCAAAAAAAAAAAGGTAGGAACATTATACTACAACTGTATAATAATGTAATTAACCAAATAAAGCAGTTTCCTTTTGTCTTCAGAGGCAGGGAATGTTGAAATAATTATTTATCTGTTGGGACATCCAATTAGGCTGGAAACTAGGTTAAATAAAGATTTACAGAACCAATTTAAAAAGAGTTATCAGTTTCCTTACAAGTCATTTTGTTTACATTTCAACATTCAATAGTTAAAATGACAATATTTGCCAGTTTCTCTGAGTTAAAGATATCTAATACCTGAGCTCTAAAAGTTGGTAAATGCTCTTCTCCTCGTCTGGCAAAGTCTTCATACCCAAAACCAGGATCTTCGATATATCGAGAGACATCAGATGTTATAATCATGTCATCCTCAAAATCTAAGGACAACAATGAATAATTGCTGTTAAGGATATTGTGTGTAGTCAAGACAATACAAACCGAACCCCACTTTCTTCTACTTTTGAGCTTTTCCATGGATTTCTGAAGTGATGGTATTGACTTCATAGCTTAAATTTGTATGTAGTAAGTGTTGAATATAATTTCATTACCAAATACCGGCCATTTTAGCACATAACTGTAGCTATCCAAGCAAAAAATTCCAGACTAAATTGAAATATCTCAACATTAGCAGCAAAGAATCAAAATAGTTTTACTAAATTGGAAATAAAGATAGCATTGGCTTGTAAGTGCATAGCTCCATCTCTCTCTCTCTCTTTTTCCTTCTCTCTGGGAGAGCAAGTAAAATGTGAAGAGAAGAGAAGACAGGGAAAGCCACTTTGAGTTTGTTAAAATTACATGGTCTTTCATCTGGACAAACTCACAGGGAACATTAGTTCAGCACAGCCCTTCCAACTTACAAAGAGTCATACTGGGGGAAGAATCAGGAAGGGGGCTGAATGAGGAGGACAGTAAACTTCTGGGACATTTCTGTTCTTTTCATTCACTTGGAGGGTTCAGTGTGGGAACACTCATTGAGCTTTATATCTAAGAAATGGTGGACTTTTGGGACCAGCAGTTAGTGTAATGGCTATGTCACTGGACTCCCATGTAGTCGACTGGACTCCCATGTAGTCGACTGGACTCCCATGTAGTCGACTGGACTCCCATGTAGTCGACTGGACTCCCATGTAGTCGACTGGACTCCCATGTAGTCGACTGGACTCCCATGTAGTTGACTGCAGTTCGCATTCTGGACCCGGTGGCTTAAAACTCACGCCAGGTGTGTGTGTGTGCGTGCCCAAGATCCTGAGGGGAGAATGGAGAAGGGACTGCAGCATGGCTATCTCCCCTGGGGGGTGATTTCTTGCTTTCTGTCTCTCTGTCTCTCTCTGTTTGGTGAGTGCATGTGCCCTATAGCAAAAACCTCTCCAAAAAAAAAGAAATGGTGGACTTTTCTATGCAGGTGAAATAAAAAAAAAAATACACAGCTGATGAAGGAGATAGTATGCTGAAAGTGATTAGAGTATCACTGAAGTGGAATTCAAGAAGACAGGAAGACGATAATATTTGAAGACAGTTTCTACACTGCTGATATTAAAATGTTACCTCTGTGGGATGCTGGATCCCACATGGCTGTCTGCACAGTTCAAGTCCCAGCAGTTTGAAAAGTATGTTGGCACATGTACATACATGCCCAAAATCCCAAAAGAAGACTAGAGGAGGAGAATTTTGGTGTAGCCTTCCCCCCCCCGCCCCCGGGGAATGATTTCTCATTTTCCCTCTCTCTTTCTCTCTCTGGTGAGTGCACGTGCCCTATAGAAAAAAACTTTCTAAAAAATTGCCACTAAAATATCTTAACTACTCAATGCATATTAATTAAGGTTTGGGTTCATGTATCTTCATAGTTATTTTTTCTGATTTCTACCATTAAAGAGGAAGGAACAAACTTCATTTACTACCTTCTATTCTAGAAGATAAACATATATTTCGCAAAATAAAAACACACAGTGGTAAGGGCAATGGACTCCCACATGGCCAACTGCGGTCTGAGTCTCGGACCTCACGGCTTACTTTCTCTCTCTCTTTCTTCCCCTCTGTCCCTCTCTGATCAAATTTAAATAAATAAAAAGTTAAATAAAATAATTAAATATAATAAATAAAAAAAAATCAGCCTTTGCCATGCAGGGAACAACATTTTCTAAGTATCTAAATTAATATTAAATACATTTAGATTTAATAAGTAATACATAACTATTACATAGCTGATAAAATATATGGCATAATAAAAAAGTATAATTCTTGGGGACCAGCAGTTGGCGCAATGGTTATATCGCTGGAGTCCCATGTAGTCGATTGCGGTTCGAGTCCCGGACCCAGTGGCTTAAACTCACACCGGGTGTGTGTGCGTCTGTGCCCAAGATCCCAAGAGGAGAATGGAGGAGAAGGGATTGCGGCGTGGCCATCCCCCAGGGGGTCACTTTCTGCCTCTCTTGCTTTTTATGGCAAGTGCACGTGCCCTATAGCAAAAACCTTTCAAAAAAAAAATCATAAAAAAAGAAAGAGAAAAAGAAGTATAATTCTTAACCAAGCAAAATCTCAAGAGATTTAAAAATCAACTATTTTATATATATAACATATATATATAAATTTTTATATATGTGTGTGTGTGTGTATGTGTATATAAAATGAAAAGACCTGATAGATTATTAGTACTTTATTATCTTTACTATTTCACAAAAATTCTACCAATAGAGATTCTGTTCTCACAAGTTGTTACCTCTTTCGGTTGCTACAAAGGGACTAATTGAGTGGTGATAATGGCAGGGAGGATCAGCACCCAGGCACCTGCTGTACCCAACTTTGGGTATATTCTACTAAAAATAATGCCTGACTTCTTTATTATACACAAAGAGAAGAGCCTGTCGTTTTTTTGAGTGCTTCCTATGTACCAGACACTATATACTTTTTTTGAAAAATGACTTTTGCCATAGGGTATGTGTGCTCACCAGAGAGAGACTGAGAAATGGAAAGTGAGAAATCACACCTTAGGGGGAATGCCCACACTGCAATCCCTTCTCCTCCATTCTGCTCCTGGGATTTTGGGCGCGTGCATCCAGTGTGATATTCAAGCCTCTGGGTCCAGGAATTGAACCGTGGTTGAGCATGTGAGAGTCCAACACCTTAACCACCACACCATCTGCTGGCCCCTATGCTATACTCTTAATATCTATCCTTTTTTAATTTCATTGATATAAAAATAAATATCCACTTAAAAACAAACTAACTGTAAGTTACTAATAACCATGATGTGTACTAAGTACAAGTGAGAAATACAACCTGAATTAATAAAAGTTAAAACATTTAACTACTTAAATTGGCTTGAAGTCTAATCCCATAACTACTCTGTGAACAGAAACCCTTAAAAAACAGAATTTTCAGTGCATTTCTCAACATTTATGACCTACCATATGCTTTCCTTAATTCAGCCTATCACGTAATAATCAACAGAAATGGGGGACAGCAGGTGGCGTGGGGGTTAAGGTGCTGGACTCACACATGGCCGACCATGGTTCAAAAGTCCTGGACCTGGTGGCTTCCTTTCTCATTTTCCTTGTCTCTGTCTCTCTCTCTCTCTGTGTGTGTGTGTGTCTGCCTCTCTCTGGCAAATGCATGTGCACTATAGCAAGCACTAATGACAAATAAAATTAAGAAATTTTTAAAAATCAACAGAAATGAAACCAAAAATAGAACAGGTAGTAGCAATCACTCAGGCTGCTATGAAAACTAGGAGTTTGGGGGGTTTAAAGTGAAATCAAACCAAAAACAGTGAGTGAAAATAAAACTCTGTAAAACAACATCTCTCCCTGACACTGCACAACCGGATGGTTTCTTTGGTGAATATCAGCACTGGAGTTGACTTACATTCTTGGTTCCTTTGTGATAAAAATTCTTGTTTTGCTCAAATACATTCTCAAGTTGTCATGTGACTTACAATCAATTAAAAACAAATAATAAAAAGTGAGCAACTAATCAAACAAGAGAGTTGCTCCTAAGAAAAATCTCTATAAATTTTCAACTTAGAAGTCAATCAAGAACAGAGCCAGCAGGTAGTGTGGTAGTTAAAGGTGCTGGACTCCTATATGGCTGACTGCAGTTCAGGTCCCGGACCTGGTAGCTTGCTTTCTCACTTTGCCTCTCTCTTTCTCTCTCTGATCACACTAGAAAATAATAGCAATAATAAAGTTAAATAAAAAATAATTCTTTTAAAAAAAAGTCAATCAAGACCTATTTCCTGGACAGTTTTGCCCAGAGAAAGAAATGTCTAATGGTCTTTCAATCTACAGATACTTTTTCCTAAATTTATCTTAAGAAGTTAAAAATTGGTATTCTGATCAACACATAGAAACTTTTATTTTAATTCTATTTAAACAAAGATTTCAAAGTTGGTACTCAAATAGTATTTTGCACACTACTTGCATTCCTCTTTCCCCAAGTACTACTTACTAACACGATACAGAAAGCACTCTACTGCAGGAACAGAAAATCTTTTTAACTAAAAAACATGATAAATGATAAAAGCTAATCTGCTAACGAGTTACAGTGCACTAGTGTGGCTAGTGTAGCTCTGCCTCTGTAGAACACTATAAGCAGTTACCTTCTTCGAAAAGCTTGGAAAACTATTTTTTAAATCCCCACATAGACTCTGGAATACCTTATCATACTGGCCAAATCAAGTAATTTTTCTAAAGTCTATATGTTTATATTTTCCATGCGAAAGAAAATATCTCCAACCGATCACACTGCGACCTGCCCCCTCAGCCAGTCAGGACCACGGCCCCACACATGCCCAGCATGTACAGAACATCTCAGGATGTGGGTCTGGGACCTTCCAGAGCGGCTTTGGCCTTGCTAAGTGTGTTACTGCTGTGCCACTGTGGCTTGCCAAGAAATTTTTTTATAGTAAAAAGTGTTTATTTCTATTTTAAAACATGGGGAGTTTCTAAAATCCATTAAATTAACCACTGTACAGAATAATTTAAAAATATTCTATCTTTGGACAGCCAGTACATTTAGAACTAGGAATGGCTAACAGTAAAAACAAATGAGTAAAGAGTGGGACCAGCAGATGAGCCAATGGCTACATCGCTGGACTCCCATGTAGTCAACCCTGGTTCCGGTTCTGGACTAGGTGGCTTAAACTCATGCTGGGTGGGTGTCCAAGATTCCAAGAGGAGAATGGAGGAGAAGGGATTGTGGCGTGGTCATCCCCCCGGGGGGTGATTTCTCGCTTTCTGTCTGTCTCTCTTTCTAGCGAGTACACATATTCTATAGCAAAACCCTCTCAAAAAAAAAAAAAAAAGGAAAAAAACAAAATAAAAACAAAAAACAAATGAGTGGAGAGTTATGATAAAATGAGTTATTTTCTTGAATTATTTGTACATGAGATAGTCTCTTCTATTAAAATTAGAACATAATTTTTGGCTATGTCCAATACTTGTTATTCAAAATTCACTTTCAAAGCAGTAGTTAATGTTCAGGGGTCAAAGACAGTAGAGACTAGAATCTTAAAATATATTTTCAATATTTAAAAAACAAAATTAAAAGAAATGAAACACTGATATCCTGCAAGCTCTAGTGATCTTAAAGAATGTCTGAAATCAAATACTACTAACTTTACTAAAAAGTTTACACCTTTTTTGGGGGGGCAGAAGGTACATCTGCTCACTACAAAGAGAAAAAAGAGGGAAAAAAAAGAGAGAAAGAGAAAGCACCCCCCCCCCATGGATGGTCACAGTGCCACCCATTCTCCTCCATCTCTCCATTCTGTTGGGATTTTGCACACATACGCCTGTGTGGCTGTAGAGCTCAAGCCACCAGAGCTGGGATCCAGATCATGGCCAGCCATGTGGGATCCGGCTCTTTAATCACAGGGCTATGGGTAGCCCTAAAATTGTTTATATTTTAAAAATATTTGTCTTTCTAGAAGATTCACTAGAGGTTTATTATTTTCCTTCATCTCCACTTGATCCCCCCAAGATGATTTTTATAATCAACTACTAATATTCACTCCCAGTGACATGGTGATAACTTCTTAAACTTTACCTTGAGCTTAAAGCCCTGTCCTGATCTAGCAGCTATGGCCTTGCTACTCTCACTATGGTCTGCAGACTCCCAGCACTGGCATCACCTGCAGGCCTTACAGCAATGTGGGCTCTCAGACCTATCCTAGACCGACTGACTCTGCAGATACATCTTGACAAGATTCCCTGCTTGAGTCATATGCACATTAAAATTGAGAAGCTATGGGCTAGACGTCTCCAGACTGAATATTTTACGGAAGTCTCAACTCAAAATGCCCAAAACACGGTGGGTTAGGTGTTCCTTAAGGCTAGAAAGGTTCATTACCATAAGGCCTCTGTCTACCTAACTAGCTTCTTCTTCACACTCACTTCATGACTGATGTCCAGTCAACACACACAGAACTACTGTTTCTGTACCTAGAATCCTGTCTCCTTATCATGGTACCTTTGCTCAGGCCTGGATACTGCTTACTGCATCCTGTGCCCTTCAGCCACTGCCTGGCCTCCTCACTCCCAACGCTGTAAGATTTACCTGGGGGGCAGGGCTATAGACTTCTTCTTCTAGGCTCTCTTCCACACCCTTCTCCCACCAACACAGGGCTAACTGCCCTCTTGAAGGCTCATATATCGGATCATCAGAAAAGTCATAATATTTTTTTTTCCATGCAAAGATATGTCATTACTTTTCCGAAGACTCACTATTTTGCTCATTCTGCTATGTATTACATTATTTGTTTCTCTCCCACTACATGAGAGTGCCCTGCTGGCTGGGATTATGCCTGATTTGTCTTGAAGCCTTAGTACCTACGACAGAACTGAGGCTATCCAGGCACTCAAATTTTTATAGAATGGATATTAAAACAACAATTAAACCACCGAGTTTATCTGAATTTTGTGCTGATTATAGGCCTGACTGGTAGTTCAATAGCCTTCAATAGATAAACTTGGTGACCCAATTGGGTAGATACCACCTTTCATAAAAGGATCAAGAGGGAAATGATAAAAGGGAATTTTGTTCTTCCTGGTAAAACATCTGAGAGCTACTTCTCTTTTTTTAAAAACTTACTTATTTCTTCCATGAGAGAGATACACACATAGAAAGAAAAGGAGAGAGAGAGACAGGTATCCCAAACAGGCTTTTCAGCTGTGATCCATCCCCAGCCTCAGGATCACAGCCTCAGCTGGCCCAATCATAGGCCCAGTGTGCAGAGGAGGACAAACGAGACCTTCCCACATGGGTGCAGCACTACGGAACACTGACTTAGCACTGCGCCCCATCTGGCTCCCCAAGAGCTGTTTAGCAATGCCAAGTTTAATGTTAACAAACACATTATAACCAAATGATTTCAAATTTATGAGACTGATTGGCTGTAAGACAGTAATTTTGATGCCCTCATTAAAAATCTACTAGGGCTAGCAAGTGGCATGGTGATTGAGGTGCTGGACTCCCACATGGCCAACCACAGTTCAAGTCCTGGACTGGGTGGCTTGCCTTCTCACTCTCTCTCTCATGAGTACATGTGCCCTGTAGCAAATTTAAAAACAGTAATAATAAAATTAATCATTCTTTAAAAAAATTATTAAAACTATATTTTAAAAAGAAATGCTATACATATTGATGATTTTTGAAGGGCTTACTATATTGAATCTCTGATACTTTATTAACACTTACTATGTATGGTCAATATTTTAGCTGTAATTGTGAAGTTTCCTTATTATTTCACACTTTCCTAGAATATTAGAAAAACTCTGCTTTTAAGGCTGGAGGAAAGAACCCTACTTTTTAAGGCAGAATGAATTCCTCCAAATTCAAAATGAAGTAAATGAACTAAAAAATACATGGCTATGAAATTCTAAAGACTTGCAAGTGCAACATGATGTTGAAATGACTCTGGAAAAGCAGCGTTGTTCAGATATTCCTCCCCCACATGCCACACCCCAAAAGGGCAAAATATTTTCAATTCCATTGAAAGAGAATTTCAGTTATAGTTAAGAAAAATCACAAAATCAAGATGAATGAAATATCCCCTTTAACTTTATAAGCAACTGGCCTGCTTTCAATAGCATTTTATCCATAATGGAGTACGGATTATCAAGCTGGAAACTTCTCTCAACTGGATTTAAGATACATTTAAACTTGCACCAGCCTAAGAGGGAAAGCAATGACTTTAGGGTAGAGCAGAGGAGGAGAATAAGTAAAAGGCAGCAGAAATAAATTAGTAGAATGTTCTTCTGTATCTATATTGTCAGTACTGAAGGTTCTGCTGTCAGGGTTCTAAAAATTAGAAGGCCAAGGCAGTGAAACAAAACAAGACAAACAACAACAACAAAAGTTGCACCTGAATGAGGAAATGAATGAAAAGTGTCTCCAGAGACCACAAAAAGACTTTCTTTCTTCTCCTTCTCAAAACGAGTGGTCATTTCTTCCTGAGATGCCTCTTCATCTTCCCTCTCTTCTTGAAGCCTTTTCATCCTTTCCATTAAGGCCTCTAGCTCACTTAGAGAGTCCACAATCTGGAACCAGGTAAGAGAACATTGGGTGTTATTAGTATTAGAATTTGTTATAATAAATGTCTCTATTTCCTAATGTAACCTTATGTATAGTTGCAGGTACATAGCTATTAATTTTTTTTAAAGAGGTTTTTGCCTTCCTAAGTGGGCTTTTCACTAACTCCAAAGAGTTTTGTTTTCTTTTTTCCAGGAGAGAATGTTTTGCTATATATAGGACATGTTGCTTGCCAGAGAGACAGAAAGTGAGAAATCACTCCCAGGAGGGATGTCCACAAAACAATCCCTTCTCTTCCATTCTCCTCTTAGAATTTTGGGCACACACACACATGTGTCTGGTGTGTAACTCCAAAGAGATTTATATGACAAATTCAAAATTTTTAGAAGTATGTTTTTGCTTTAGTTATCCAAAGTTGTAAATATGTGTGTGTGTGTGTGTGTGTGTGTGTGTGGGGTCAAACAATCTACAGTTCTAACATTGGGTATATATTGTGTTATAAAGGATGGAGGATGAGAGGATGTTGACTAAAGAAAACAAAATTGCAGATGGAAAGAAGGAACAATGTCTAGTGTTAAATAATACAATGAGGAAAATGTGGTTAACAACTTACAAAACATTACTAACAGAGGAAATGGTGGGTAGACCAGCTGCCCTGGATTAATCACTGTAGGTTGTATTTATGTACTGAAAGCTCACATGGGAATGAGCATTATATTAATAAAAATGATTAATAAGAAAATATAGGTCATTAAAAAATGAGTCAGCCACAAATTTTCTACTTTGTGCTCTCACAGGGAGTATTTCCCATGAGCCGGCCCAGCATCGTACACGTACATGCATCGTCCTGGAGCCTGCTCAGCACAGGGTCACTGACTGCCTATGATGGCAACACGCATCGTGTAGTCTTTATGACTTATAAAATATTCATTTGCTTTAAGGCAAATGAATATTTCTAAAGGCAAATCAGAAGTTCGGGTACCAGTTAAATTTTTACAAAAAGAATTCTGAAAAAAAATGTAAAGTACATAATGATCTTATCTAGTTAGAGAATAATAGTTTTAACATTAGGAAGCTTAAACATGGTGAGAAAAAACAAGTTGAGAAACTAACCCCAAAGTTGCCACCCGTGAGGGACGCATTTTCTATGTTGTTGTCATTAGCGAGGTCACAGACGCAGAAATTGCTGACGGCTCTGAGCCTGAACCCATTGGAGATGTCTGGGTCTCTCTCTGGGTTGATGCCACTACCGAAAACGAAGCTTGCCAAGGCATGATAATGCGCCAGCAGGACCACGGCGTGCACCAGTTCAGGCAGAGACCAATTATTTTCTCCAGTTTTGACAAGTTTCTGAAATGAGAAAGCAAACGGGAGTAAAAACAAAAATCACAGAAGGCAGCACCATGATTTTAAAAGCATGGGAAACACATCAAATTTCCCATATCCACTTAAAGAATTTTAAAAGTCACTCTCCCTTTTAAAAAGTCTCATATATTAAAGGAGTGGCCTTGGTCAAACATCTTTACATTAAAGCTACTAAGCCTTACAGTGTATTGCGGCTTCTTCTAAATCCCTAGTGATAGAATGATTCCTCTGCTTCCAATGTACTTTTATATTATGTGATTTTAATAAGATACTTCTAAGAATCAGAGAGTGCTGGGACTAGAAAGGATTTTAAAGGTTATCTAGGAAAATCATTAATTTTAAAGATTTTGGGAAACATTGTCTCACAGAATTTTAAAATTCCTATTCAGCAAGACAACTTTTAGTTACGCTTTACATACGTTCTGATGGAGAAAGAGCCTCCGACAGAGGACAGAAACAGCATGTTTAACAAGAGCTGTGCAGGACCGTCTGTGACCCTGAGAGGATAGCCAACACTCATCTCTGATTCCTCACCTCACAATCATTTCTACTTTCTCTATTCATTACAATTGGGTTTCTTTTTCAAACAAATTCCTGAAGCCACAACCACTAACGTTACGGGCCTTTTGTTTGGCCAAATCTATTCTAGTCCTTATCCTATTAAATCTCTACAGAATTGACATTGCTTATGTCTCCCCTTCTTGCAATCAGTCTTCCTTGACATCAGCAATTCCACTTCTTTTTTTTTCCTTAACACATTCTACCCTGAGATGGCATTTCCTCTACCGTCTACAGAGCTGGGCTCCTTCATGTCTACCCACCTCTAAGATGTCAGTTTGCCCTATCCCGCCCATGACCATCTCTCCTTGTACACTATGTCCCTGATGGCCTAGACATTCCTCCAACTTGACTTTTGTTTATCTGTAAATATCTATTTGCTTTTTTCCTCTTTGTTTTCATTTAGGTTTCTGTCATAAGGTGTAGACAGACAGACGGAGATAGAGAAAGTGAGAAATCATCCCCTTGTGGGGATGGCCATGCTGTAGTCCCTTCTTTATTTTCCCTTCAGGACTATGGGCTTGCACACACACACACATGCAGCTGGCATGCATTTCTTTCCTTTTTTTTTTTTTTTTATTTTGAGAGGTTTTTGCTATAGGGTATGGGCGCTCGCCAGAAAGAGAGTGACAGAGAGACAGAAAGCGAGAAGTCACTCCCCGGGAGGATGGCCACGCCGCAATCCCTTCTCCTCCATTCTCCTCTTAGGATCTCGGGCACACATGCACATGCATCCGGTGTAAGTTCAAGCCACTGGGTCCGGGACTCAAACCACAGTCAACTACATGGGAGTCCAGCGACATAGCCATTATGCTAACTGCTGGTCTCTGGCATGAATTTCAAGCTGCCAGGTCTGGGACTCAAACCACAGTGGGCCATGTGGGAATCCAGTGTCTTAACCTCTATGCCAACTGTGGGTTCCAAACCCACCCACTTCGAAATTTATCTTTCCTACACATATTAATACACTATTTTTTACTTTTAGAGCTTCTAAAATTAAGTGTTAAGTGAAATACTTAACTAAAAAATTAAGTCTTAGAATCACTGGTAAAAGTCTTTCTTATTTCCAAGAAACAGTCAGTACCTGAATGTGCTCCTTCGTGATCAGCCAGGGCCGGTGTGCTAGCAGCTTGTTTATTTCATTAAGGTTTTTCAGTCTTTGTGGTACGTATTCCAAACCGTTCAACCACTCAGCAATGCCTCCGGTTTTTAAAAATTCATCCACATGCATGTTTATTAAGTAAGAACACTGATGTCTAGCTGCAGCCTACAGCACAGAGAACATAATTTGTTGATAAAACAAACACGATCGAGTCTTATTCCACTATTCCCAAATAATTTGGTGGGGTTAATAACAGTAATAATTTCTTTAGCTAATATTCTTTATAGAATCCTTCTCCTAAAACATGAATGTTTTAATGTTTTAATGTTTTAATGTTGCAATAGTTTTACGTCAATACATCAGCTGATACTTGTTTAAGCAAATAACTGTCAGGTGGAGCCATTTCTTTCTTTGTCCAGAAGTTGGTAGAGATGAACCAAGAACCTGTTTTCTAGCTATGTTAAGGATACACATAGCCATTTTGTTAAGGCAAATATATCCACTATCTTCTATTTAAAACATAATGAAATCTCATTATCTTACACTCTGACAACCCAGAATTTATGCTAATAGGGGTGTTTCTCTGATCCCCTTTAAGATAACTGTGATTTCACTTGTATCTGCATTTATCATCCTACTCTGATGAAATGAAATTCAGGGACCCTCTCTGTCCTGTGACGTCAGTGAGCCTTGTCCCTGACAACTCAGTGAAACCCTGAAAGCACATGCTCCACCTCCCTCTTCCTCAGGGCTGCTGCAAAGCCAAAGGCTGTCCCTTTATTCTGTCTATTCTCTACATCTCGTTTCTCTTTTAGTCTGTGAGCATTCTAAATCTGCTTTTAGCCTCACTCTTGTCAAAACGTTAAGCTAAAATGATAGTCTTAGTCAAGGCTGTTGTTCAGTCAAACACAGAATGTGGCTCTGTCATGGCTGTTGTTTAAAACTCCGGTGAGAGTGTGAAAAAGATAATCAAATCAAACTTGGTAAAAACCAGTAGGCTACCTCCTGCCCTAGCTCTGCTGGTCCCCAGCTGTTCTCCTAACCTCTCCAAATATATAGCACTTGCATCATGTTCTCATTCTTTTTCTTTTATTAATTGCCAGAGGGTACCTGTACTCCCCAGAGGAGCCAGAGAGAGAGAGGGAGTAGGAGAAAGCACCCCCCACCCAATGGGGCATGCTCTTGTCAAAATCCCTTCTCCATTTCTCTAGCCTGTCCAGATTTGGGCCATGCACACACATATATCTGGAGTGTTTTCAAGCCACAGGGGGGCCAGGATTTGAACAGCAATCAACCATGTGGGATCCAGCTCCCTTAACTACGAGGCCATGGGCCAGCCCGTGTTCTTTTTATCAGTTAACAGTCTAGCTGTAGCACTATTTCCTTCTATCCTCCTAATTCCTGTTGCTCATCCCCAGCTTGCACTTCTGCTCCCTGGCCTCCACTGCCTACTAACAACATTATCTAATTAATGTTTATAACAAGAACTTTTATTGGTGTTAAAATCCCTTGAAGAATTCTTCTCTTAATAAGTTCTCCATTAGTACTGACTGACACTTTTCTTTTATTTGGCCAAATTAGTAATATCTTAACATACCAAATGACTAAGAAAAACATCACAAACACTGTGTCTTTGTTAATAATAAAACAAAGACATCAAGGGAAAAGACAAAACTTGCAGGATATTATTTTGAGCCTGAAAAGCAACTTTAGTCACAAGAGATTAAATATGGAAAACAATTTTGATGAAAATTAAATGAGAAACTTTAATACATTAAGTGGCTTAAAGTATTCCAAATGTATCCAAGGGACACAGCATACAAAAGGCCACAGGTTCTTTGGTTGTTATGTCCACAGAATTAGCTTTACACACACACACACACACACACATTTTAGGAAGAAGAAAAAGGTAAGGAAAATGTTCCATGAAAATAGAAGAAAAGTAGGAAAATAGGGACCAACCATGATTGCAATGTAGTGCCTGTATGGCAGAGGAAGGGGACCGTCCATGCGTAACATATAAAACTGGCTTCTCAAGAAAGACTCCAGGTACTGAGTGTGTAAACTCATGACCTGCGTGATGTTGTCCAGACGGCCGGATGTAGAGTATTCTTCCACTAGAAAGTTAGTCCGCTCATCCAGGGTGTCTGCTTGGACAACCTGATAACCCAAAAAACAAAAAATAACTACTGAGATATAAACACACTCTTTACATAAATTATGCCGCTATTGAAGCAAATGAATATTCATTTGATATTAACAGATACGGAAATTATGTAGCTGCTCAAACTAGGAGAAGTAATAGAGAAAGCACCATTCGCTGCTGGCTCTGGTACCGCGATTTATTAAACAACAAATGTTAAATGATCAAACATTATACACATGGCTATGAAACTGAAGAAAAGAAGCTCCCATCTGTTTTGCCAGGCGCATTAGGCAGATTTTGCAGGGCTGCACGTCTGGCCATTGTCACACCAATTTGTGGTGGCAATGACTGCATCCATTTATCACTTCATCTCATCAAGATAATTACATCATTTTTGGACAAATATTTCATTTGATCCTTTGCTTGTGTTTGTTATTCAATATTAATGAAAAAAAACACTTTCTGAAGTCTTTTAGGGACATGGGAATATTTGATAATTTTTAGAAAAGTGTTAATTGAAAAATTAATAAGGACATGAGAATACTGTCATTCCTCTTTTGAACCTATCATATTAATTACTAAAAACAAGGTAAATTATTAAAGTGAACATATTCTATTCTAGGGAATCAAAAGAGCACTCTCAAAAATAGATTATTTATATTTAGCTTTCTACACAATGGCAGTATAGGCATCACACCAAGAACTGGCTCTGAAGATGTGAAGAGCTCATTAGCACCTTGCAGAAATACCCAACTCCACGGGGATTCATGGACATAAGATGCGTAATTCCAGGACTGGGTCATTATTTATTCATAATTTAGGATCAGAGTTCCAGACCAAAGAAGAATATGCTTCTTGTTATGAGGATAAGAAAACAGAGTCAAGATTAAATTCAAGCTCATAACTTCGTTGATAGAAAATCTGATCTACCATCTTGTAAAGGCCAACTTAACAGTCTTTCTAAAGAGCCACACTATTAGAAACTGTGTTTACTCTTTAGAGCTGGCTACACAGTGCTTTCTGAAAAATAAGTACAAATTACACAAAGGCACTGTTGATTGAGATAAATTTAACCCCAAAGTAAATACAATGTTTGGAAAGGGTAAATTGTGAGGAAATGGGTCTAAATTATTATAGAGCCAAATATACTTTCACATGTCTGTTTTCTTCTACGTTGTCAGTGCTGGGGACCAAGAAGATACATCAAAATATAAAAGGATCCATATGAACCACATATAATTTATTGTTTTATCATGCTTTCCCCAGCAGAAATTTCTTGTGTCTAAACTGGATGCCTAAGATACATACAGAGATCCATATGATCCAACAGAGCCTGAAAAACACAGTGTGAGAATGACTGGGCCTCCAGAAATCTTGAGTAAGTATCAGGCAATCATTCCACTAAGAGCAGCCCCTAACCTTTGTGAAACAACCCAGGTAGTTTCCCTGGCACAACGTCACCACCCTGATCAGTTGTTGTCACGAGTTCACAAAATATTACTGCTATTTGGATTTTCATTTAAAGAGTAAGGTCATTTAAAAAGTGATTTATGGGGACTGGTAGGTGTCATGTTGGTTAAGGTTAAGGTGGCTGAACTCCCATGTGGCTGACTGTGGTTCAAGTCCCAGACTTGGCAGCTTGCTTTCTCACTTTCCTTCCCCCTCTCTGCCTCTCTCCAGTCAACTTCAATAAAATAAAAATAAAATAATGATCATGAATAAAAATGAATAAAAAAAACCAAGTGATTTATGAAGATGGATGAACTGCTGACTCTACTCATGCCCTGGTATTTTCCTAACCCTACCTGTCCCTTCTTTCAAGACCATGCTTGGCACATAATAGGTGTCCTATAACATTTGTTACGTAATTTCAGAACAATACAGGAATAACCCTGATGACATCTTTGCATCAGCAGTAAGTCAGTATACATAAATTAATAATTCCTTGAAGCAGAGGAAAATTTCTTAATTAGTGGTTTGGGTTTTTTTGTTTTTGTTTTTAGATTTTTGCCATAGGGCATGTGAGCTCACCAGAGGGAAACTGAGAAATCACCCCTCAGCAGGGATGGCCATGCCACAATCCCTTCTCCTCCATTCTCTTGAGATTTTTTGGGCACACACGCACAAACACCCAGGGTGATTTTCAAGGGCTGAGACCAGGACTCAAACTGCAGTTGTCATGTGAGAGTCCATTGCTTTAACCACCACACTGCCTGCTTGTCCCCTAATCAGTGCTTCTTAAATCCTTTTTTGCCTAAGTATATGTGAGTGGCATCTAGGATTCTAAGGAGGTCCTGCACATTGCTACAATCTTTCATGGAGATCCACACCCACAAAACAGGTGCAAACTTGTATTGATTAATCTTCATTGTGCCATTTTATACCTATCTTTCTTACATTTACCATCTTGACTCCCTACCCTGACCAAAGGTACAGGATTATATTGGAGATCCTGTGATAACCTGTCTAATCAGAGACTTGGAACCAAGTGAAAAAGAGTAACTACTAATGATGTAATATCATGCTTTATTTAATACTTTCAATTGGGAAACTCATTTTTTAATTTCAGAATGAATTTCCTTAACATTTATGTAGCCTATAACCACCATGAATCTGTGGCCAGTTTAAAACTTAAAACCTTGTGGTCAATATTAAATTTTTGTAGTCTTAGCCATTGTTGAGAAAAGTATATTTGAAACCAAGTATGGTGAAATTTATATCTTTTTAAATTGCAGTACTACTCAACTTTAAAATCAGAAGACATTATTCACTCAATCTTCTAAGGAAAGCTTAAAAAGAAACATCTCCATGGTTTCCTGACATATGAACAAGAAATTCCAAAGGGAAATACATTTCTCACTTTCACTTTAAAATTGGAGACATTCTTTGATACAATTAAGCTATTTTACAAGTCATGCCATACATCTTTTAAGATGAATAAACTTACTTCCTTCTCCGGAATAAAGGCACTTGGTCCTCTTGTCAAGGGTTGAGATACTCTGATCCGTTTATCCTGTTTTTTAAAAGAAAAATTTAATGTATTAATTATTACTTTCTAAGGAAAGTAAAATTGGTATATGTTTGTTGCTAAAGTACTGAAAGAAATAGAATTTAAAAAAATAAAGAGAACTACATGAGACTTGTATGAGCTTTGGGTCTCAGATAAAACTAAACCAAAACAAATCACAGGGCCATCTTAAAGATGAGAGAATGAAAAATAACTCCTACCCCAGTGGTAGGTACATGGTAAGGCTCCTCAAAATAATTTCCCCTTGGTCATATTCAACATTCCCACGGTTTTGGTTTTTGTTTTTAGTTTTTTGCCATAAGGTACATGCACTTGCTGAAGAGAGACAGAGAGAGGGAAAGTGAAAAATCGCTCCCCAGGGGGATGGCCACACTGTAATCCCTTCTCTATTCTCCTCCTGGGATTTTGGGCATGCATGCACACAAGCCTGGTGTGATTTTCAAGCTGCCGGGTCAAGTACTCAAACTGTAGCTGTTCATGTGGGAGCCCACCACCTTAACCACCATGCTACCTGCTGGCTCCATCCCCACATTTTGGCCCATACATAACATGACTGAAAACCATTAACCTCCATGGTAAATCATATCTAACAGTAGATGAGTACACTGTTAAAGATACTAATGTGAAAGCGAAAGGCAAGGCTAAATTCAAGGAAGATTACATATAACTCTCCAAAGCAACTACTTGATCTGTTTTTCTTTTTTAATTAAAAAAAAAAGGCAATAAATATATCTAATATAAAGTTTTGAAACTGTAACAAAATGTAAAACTTGGGGAAGTAGAGGTCAACTGAAGAAATGGAGACTATAACAAGTCTTATTGTTCCATTACTATTCTATTACTATTAATAACACATAGGCTTGTGTATTTGGTGCTGGACTTTTTTTTTAAGTCTTTACAATTTCTGTTAATTTTTTAAATTGAAAAACATGTTAGTGTCTTCAGCTAGTGATTATATACCGGCTTCAGAAATTCCCATCAGAGCTTCTTTCTCCTTAGGCATGTTTAGGACCAGGGACAGTTAGAGCAGGCTCTTGTGCTTTGAACGCCTTCTCACCAAGAAGATGAGGAAAATGGTCTCCTCATTTTTTATAATAAAAGTAATATCCTAAAGTTCCAAAAACTAAAAAAAAGCCCTCCAAAGCCACAACATAAAATACAGACTATGCCATGGTTTATGAAAAGTATAAAGCCTGAGTAAGAAAACAAAGTAGCATGGGAATTCACATCTATTGGAAAAGAGTGTTTTAAACATGAGGTGTGATCAAATCTTGATGATGATAATGTGTATGATATCCTTAACTGAGCTGGTGTACTTTATATTTATGCTGGGAAAATTCATTTTACAAGCTGTTGTGATGTTCGGTGATTGAATGTATAAAAACAATTAAAAAAAAAAAAAACCCTCCTGAGGAAACATCTACCTGAGAAAGTATCTCCAGGTGGGTGCCTTAATGTAAAAGTTCTGGCCAGACAGAATTGAGGGTAATTAGCTGGGCCAGGAGAGTTCTCTGTGAATGGTGCACTCGAGTTACATACACAGTACATCCTATTGTACATCACAGTACAACAGGACCAGTGGTTCAGACAGCTGGATCCCACATGGCTGACTGTGTGATTCCAGTTCTGGATCTAGCAGTTTGAAAAACACTGGGCATTTGTGCGTGTGTGTCCAAAATCCCAAAGAGGAGAATGAAGAAGTGATTGTGGTGTGGCCATTCCTTCTTGCGGAGGGGGTAGTTTCTCACTTTCCCTCTCCTCCTTTCTTTCCTCCTCTCTCTGGCACATGCATATACCCTATAGCAAAAAAAAAAAAAAAAAGTAAAAAGTCTCACAGAGTAGAAACAAAATATCACTCTGAAACAGAGGCAGAAAAGAAACAAGGATGGGGCTTGGCCCCTTGTCTAGTGGTTGATGGAGTCAGATCCCACATGACTGACTTGTTCAAATCCTGGTCTCAGTGGTTTGAAAAATAAGCCAGGTACATGTGCATGAGTGCCCCAAATTCCAACAGGATGGAGAAATGACAGAGAGACTGCAGTGTGACCATACCCCACTGAGGGATACTTTCTCCTCTTTCTGCCTCTCTCTGGTGAGCACACATGCCCCCGGGCAATAAAAAATATGATGATGAATCACCAGGTAGCTATCAACAGACACTTGCTTCTAAGGAGAAAAACTATCAGAGTTTCTACAAATTTGCTGGAAAAAGTAAAGCTTTATCATGGCCATGGTCTCCCTCTTCTCATTAGGAGGTAACCTGAGTCTTTCTTGTTCTAGTCAAAGAGCCTACACCAAACACAGGATTGTTACTTAAATCCCTGACTTCATAGGAAGGTGTTACAAAACAAATTGCAAAAGGAAGGAGCCTGGCATTCAGCCACGATTTTTGGAGAGCCTAATCAGACAGGGCAATAGACTGAAACATGGGGTGAGGAAGAAAGATATGGGCCCTGCTTGCATAAGCTTAGCACACAGTTCTCACCAATGTTCCGGGGTCTACTGAAATAAACACAGCACGTCACAATAACCTTAAGTTGCCAGAGTTTCAGGAAATAGCATCTAGGTTCCTTTTAAGTGACAAACTCGTCTCAGTCTACTAGTCAAGTATACTTGAGGACTCCATGTAAAGTGGATGAATTTGGAATTTATAATATTGGTATTTCTTTTCTACATCAACCATAATCTAGATTTATCTAGAAAAAATTTTAAAGAAAATAATGGGTTTATTCAATTTGCTAGTCTCTAGGTTATAGAAAATAAAATTTCAAACACCCTCTAGATTAAGGATTAGTGTGTAAAAAGCAACTTCCTGGACTAGTCATTTCAAATGAACAAAAGGGTCAGAGAAACTTCAGTATGAAGAAACACCATAGGTTTCAGGAAAAAGGTATCAATATAGAGGTAAATGGTAATTTTAAAATAATGAAAAATACATAAAATTCAGAGTGCACACAGAGGGAGAAAAATATATAAAACACTTTACATTATAATGTAAAAGGGGACTTCAGGGAGAATGATTTGTTGCTCATATGATTTGCTTATAAAAGCCAAGAGCTGACACTTTTATTTAAAGAATTCTTTAATTATATTTATTACAGCACTCTTTTTTTTAATTTGCTACAGAGCATGTGTGCCTGAGGTGCCAAAGAAAGAGAGAGAGTGAGAAAGCAAGCTACCAGGTCTGGGACTCAAACTGCAGTCAGCCAGTGGGAGTCCAGCACCTTAACCACCACACCACTTGCCCGCCATTATGTTTGAACATTTTAATTTGTTTGTGGTAAAAAGTTATTAAGCAGAGGTGTGGATACAATCTGTGGGGTTGTTTGAAAGTTACTTTTTTTTTTTTAAAGTTTATTTCATGAGGAGGGGCCATGCCAACAGAATTCTCAAGCTGTGATCCACCCCAAGTTTCAGTCGGCCTGGATCACAAACATGTGCACACATACCCTTCATACCCAGGGAGGTCCTTGGATGCAAACCTAGGACCTTTCCCATGTGGGTCCAGCTGCATTACTGCTATGCCACCGCCTGGCTCAGGTCTGTGTTTCTAATAATATGATTGTGAGGGTGATGTAGTGTCTAGGCCTGAGACAGAAAACCAGCTGAGCAGCTACATTGAGTGTCCAGGAGAGAGAGGAAGTGGCTCGCTTCAGAGATTTGTTTACACAGTGAAGCTAACCCAACTGTCCCTTCCCTACTTCCTTTCCCTTTTTTCTTCCTCCCCCTGCCCCAACTTTTTCTTTCTTTCTTTCTTATTGTGGTAAAATACATGGAAGATCTACCCTCTCAATGTGTAATACAGTACTGTTGATGATAAACACACCATTGGACAATAGAGCTCTAGGACTTTTCCATCTTGCTGAACTGAAACTTGATACTAACTCAGTAACATGGCCCCACTTCTCCCTACCAGCCTTTGGGAACCACCATTCTACTTTCTGCTTTTCACAGAGGGGCCCTCTTCAGATCACAGCAGCCTCTTCCTACGTAAGCCTCAGCCTTTTCACCTCCTGCACAACCACATTGACCTCCTTCTGTTCAACTCTTCCCTGGCTTAGTTTCCATAAGACTGAACCACCCAATCTCATCTTTGACCATTTACTTTTACATTCTCCCTAGATATACATTCTCTTCATGTGAGCACTCTCTTCCGTAGCTTCCATCTTCTTTACACAAACACAATTCTACTGAAATGTGTCACAATTGGTATACTGAGGGAGCGACAGAAGAGCTAGGAGGGAAGGAGAGGGCATATGACAAAGAAAGGGAGCAAGTCGTGCCCCTAACTCCTGATATTTATTATCTAGAAAAGATAATTCAGGATGGCATTGGGCATTCTTTGATTTCATCTTGATGTAATATTAGCACCTTAAAATCATCATTTAATCTACTCCAAACCAGAAGTTCCTCCTCACTTTATTCTACAGGCTCAACAACCACCACACACACCAGTAATCCTGGCTCTAATTCAGTTACCTTTGATTTATTCCAGAAGCCTCTATCTCAACAGTGGCCAAATCTTGTAACTGTCCTTTCCCAACAAAATCTTTAAGTCAACCTTTCCAGAGCACCTGCTCAGTCATAGGAGTTCATCTCATGCTGAAAAATATTTCCCCCTCACAGCTGAGAACGTCAATTCTAGGCCATAGCTTTCTTCCTTGTTGGGAAGCTTTGAGAAGATAACACATTTTGTGTACACTTCTATTGCAGGAAAAATGCAAAACACAATACAAAGTAAGATACTAATTTTTATTCTGCCCATTTCTCAAAACAAACCAATAAGCAAACCAGAATAGGTGCCATATATTTTGTCTTATGCTGCTCAGGTAGAAAAATTCAAGGGTTGCTCTGTGTTATGAATAAAAATAACCGGTGGCTATACTATAATTTTGAGGAATATTGCCATGTTTCCTTCTATTTAAGTATCTAAGAAAAAACAAAAATGTTATTCTTGGGAATAAATGACTTTGATCATAACAGTG